CCGCTTTTCCTTCCTCTTCCTCCCCCCCCATTTCCTTCCTCTTCCTCACACCTTCCTCTTCCTCACGTCCCCTACTTTTCCTCTTCCTCACACCTTCCTCTTCCTCGTGCCCCCTTCATCCTCCTGGTCCCTTCCTCTTCCTCACACCTTCTTCTTCCTCGTGCTTTTTTCATTTTCACACCTTTTTCTTCCTCGTGCTCCCTCCTCTTCCTCACACCTTCTTCCTCCTGATCATGCTCCTCCTGCTCCTGGTGCCTTCCTCTTTCCCCTGGTGCCTTCATCCTCCTCGTACCCCCTCCCCCTGGTGCCTTCCTCCTCCTTGTGCTCCCTTCCTCCTGGTGCCTTCTTCCTCCTCGCATCTTCCTCATCCTCCTCGCATCCCCTCCTCCCCCTGGTGCCTTCCTCTTCCTCACACCTTCCTCATCCTCCTTGTACTCCCTCCTCCCCCTGGCACCTTTCTCATCCTTCTCGTAACTTTTCTTTTTCCTGGTGCCTTCATCATTCTCCTTGTACCCTCTTGTCCTGGTGCCTTCCTCTTCCTCGTACTCCCTCCTCCCCCTGGTGCCTTCCTCTTCCTCACACCTCTCCCCTGGTGCCTTCCTCCTCCCCCTGGTGCCTTCCTCCTCCTCGTATCCCCTTCTCCTCCTGGTGCCTTCCTCCTCCTTGCACCTTCCTCCTTGTACCCCCTCCTCCCCCTGGCACCTCCCTCCTCCTCACACCTTCCTCATCCTCCTCATGCTCTCTCTTCCTGGTGCCTTCCTCCTCCTCCTGGTGCCCTTTCCTCTTCCTCATCCTCCTCCTTGCACCTTCCTCATCCTCCTCATGCTTCCTCTTCCTGGCGCCTTCCCCCTCCCCCTGGTGCGTTCCTCTTCCTCGCACCTTCCTCATCCTCCTTGTACCCTCTCCCCCTGGTGCCTTCCTCTTCCTCACACCTCTCCCCTGGTGCCTTTCTCCTCCCCCTGGTGCCTTTGTCCTCCTCGTACCCCATCGTTCTCCTGGTGCCTTCCTCTTCCTCGCACCTTTCTTATCCTCTTCCTGGTGCCTTCCTCCTGCTCCTGGTGCCTTCCTCACCCTCATACCTTCCTCCTCCTCCCATCCTGCAGGCCCAGGAGCTGAAGGAGCGGGGGAACCGTGCGCTGGCGGCGGGGGAGGTGGGGGCTGCGGTGGGGCACTGCACCTTCCTCCTCCTCATCCTGGCACCTTCCTCCTCCTCATACCCTCCTCCTCCTCTTCCTCCCGTTTCTCCCCCCAGGCCCAGGAGCTGAAGGAGCGGGGGAACCGTGCGCTGGCGGCGGGGGAGGTGGGGGCTGCGGTGGGGCACTGCACCTTCCTCCTCCTCATCCTGGCACCTTCCTCCTCCTCATACCCTCCTCCTCCTCTTCCTCCCCTGTCCCCCCCCAGGCCCAGGAGCTGAAGGAGCGGGGTAACCGTGCCCTGGCCGTGGGGGAGGGGGGGGCGGC